ATTCATAGCTCGAAAGAATCACGGAGCTCCCGTCTCCTGACTCCAGGATCCGTCTCCACCTCGCAATGGCCGGATATCCCATCGTAGGCTGGACACTCGGGAATGCTGCCGCTGCAACATTCAGCTGTATGTGTCTTGAGCAAACGAATTTTAAGGATGGGGTATTTAAGGCACACTACGAATTGCCCTTCTGAGCTTCTGCCCTGGTGACGCATGTCCTGTCAAGCTAGTTGGCAGGTGACACAGACTACTCGCCGCCGTTCGTGCATCGGGTGTACTTCAGGCGTTTCCGCAGTCTTTCTTGCAGCAATGCCTTCCTTAAAGCGCAACATGCGCGTAAAATTCTCCATCCACCAGTACTTTTGCAAGTAGTTCGAGCCAGATGCATGCCAGGCTTTGCCTGCATGCCTCCAGCATCAGCCTGCCGATGGGTGAGATCAGTGCCACTCGCTTTAGAAGTGGAATACCGCGATGCGCCTCATACTTGGAGCAACCCATAGCGGTTTCTGCTTCTAAGGTCACAGTGCGCGTGCAGCACCCCTTTGACGAATTGCTGGGCGACTTGCAGAAGGACTGTTGTGACGTTGACTCGGCAAGCTTCAGTCAGATGTCTGAGATTTTGGCTAGATATTTCAGGGGTGGAAACGATCCTTGAGATCTGCGGTAGTCATACAGCAGTCCGCAGCACTCCTAGCTGCGACTGGGTTGTCGAGAGAAGGTTTGATTTTGGCTTATGTGTTCCACAGAACCATGCATTGCATAGCAAAGAAATGTAACTCCTCTGGCAGGACTTGGAAGAGTTGGCGATCCCATCCCTATTCCCCGATATGGGCAGTGACTCACATGGCTCTTCAGATGCGGCGTCGGAAAATTGATGCTTGCAGCAGCATGAATGCTTCAGATTGCGTTGCTACTTGGTTCGTTGCACGCTGCAAGCTTGCTGTTCTGACACGTAGAATTTAGATCGACCCTGAAGTCAACACAACAATATGATGCCAGTCACATCGGCAGAAAAGCTCCAAGCATAAAGTCTCCTAACGTCTCAGCCTTCCGCATCAGTCCTGATCAGGCATGCAAGTAGCACAAGTCATCTGTGAGAGTAGCAGGAATGCTGCTGAAATAGTGGCAACTGGAAGGAAGCCATGCGCGTCGCAAGCAACAAATTGCCTTACCTTTAGTAGATCCTTTTCGTAGTCCTAATGTAACCAATTGTTATAGTGGTTTCCATTTTCTTTTGCATTATTCCTACATAATTTACCCTATAATCCCAAAATATTCCCCATAATGCATTACCCTAAACCCTCAACCCGAAAAGCCTAAACCCTAGGGGTCCACAGATTACTCAGGCTGGGCCGTCCTCCTTGTTTGGGCCTACCGCGCAGATGTGTCTGGCCCCCGTGGCATTTTGAGACGATCGCATCCTGGGGTTACTGTTAAGGAACCTAATTTGAGTTATTAAAATCATGGATAATGAAATGGAAAAGGAAGTGGAATGATATGGGGACTGAGGGAATATAGGGATTTGAGGACCTTAATTTAAGTTACTACAATAGGGATACCCACCGTGGTAACATAATTGAAGAGCCTTAGCAGCAACCCAGTATCTTCCGGTTGGCAGCAGTCCTTGCATCCGTCCTCAGCTGGTTGTTCCTGAAACGATGGAGTGTAGCAAACCCCGACAACTTCAGGCAAAAGCTCCAACTAAAGCCCATTTTGGTAGTTTCCATTTTCTTTTCCATTATCCCTATACAACCCCAATATCTTATAGTAGTTGCCATTTCATGTTAAGCCCTGCCAGAGTTGGCTTATGAAACCAGAAACCTTGTGCAGATATCAGCCCTCAGAAATGAAGGACCAAACGTTCCCCCAAAGCGCTCGCCCGAGATTCATCAGGGCACTGGGAATCTGATTACAAAGGCCCTCATATGTAGAAAGTGGACCAAAGGCCGTTAGAGACTCTAGGAAGTGCTTATGACTGTTGTTCCATCTGGCACATGGCTGGATTCAAGCCGGCCACATGGTGTTTCTCCTTTTACGACAATAGCCACAAGCCCCACCCAACCACTCTTCATGCAGCAATCCAGAATAACAACAATCTGGAAAGGTCCCTGTTATTGCTGCACTGTCAAAATTATGCCTAGTCTGATCTTCTTATATCATCATCAGCGTTTCAATCATGCCGTTGTGGTCTTGCTTCTACATTGCTATTGCAGTACTTTATTGCTGTGTCTTCATGCTGCTATACTGTCATACTCCCAATTTCGTTGCAACTTTGCCACGGAAGATAGCTCAATTGGGCAGACCAGATCATTACCAGAATTGGCCATCATTTGGTTTTTGGTAATCTACTCCCCGTTCTGCTGCAGCAATGTCCGGCTTGACTCGCTGAAAAACCTCTAAGCCCTTCGAACCTGATTGAATCCCCCAAGTTGCGATAATACTTCCGGATCCTGGGCCTCAAAGTCCCTATTACAATATATGATAGATTCCGTTTTCTTTTCCCTTATCCCTATATAACCCCAATACTAACATCCTCCTGGCCCCCCATGGAAAGGAGTTTCTGGCCGACAGAGAAGCAGCTGATGAAACTCCTTTACCTGCCTTGGGAGCGGAAGTGGCGAGAGCGCTCGGGGCCTAATCCTCCTTAAGTAGATAGAATATGGGGCTTGTTATTGAGGATATATAGGGAGAATGGAAAAGAACATGGAAATTATTATATATTCTAATAGGGACTTTGCGGGGCATTGGCCTCGAAGGAAGGTGATTGTCTTCGTGGTAATGATGTTAGGGCGACAGTGGTCTTCCTCACGATCATACTGGTACTGCCTTGGTGGAGAAAACATGGTGAGGAATTATCTTGATAGTGTTCCCAAGCAACCCCACAACTCCCTGCACAATCCCTCCGGTATCAGAAGATTTGGCCGGAGCGTCGAGGCCTTCGCCGAGGGCGCCTGCCGCCGCCGGAGCGGGGTAGAGGGTCAAAAGGGCCTTACAAGAGAAAGAACACGAAGCTGAGCATGCCTTGTGAGCGTCCATCTGATATGTGCTGAATGGCATTCAGATCACTTGGTGAGTCAAGAAGGACATTAGGAGCACAGGCCTAGGGCCCAAAACCGAGGGTCGCTGAGTTGTGCCAGGAGCCGATCACCTGGAACATGTTGACCAGCGACTTCTGGTATCAGACAAAGATGCTGTGGCCTGGGCCCCGTGGTATTCCGGATTGCAGTCAGGGGTCGAGCATTACGGCTGCATTCAATGCATTCACATAGCTTACGACGTGAAGCTTGCACGGACGGCATCGCTTCACCGAGCATTTGGTGGGGTGTTTTGACACTTACAAGCTTTGTTCCTCATCAGCTCTAAAGATCTCAGGGCCCGTTTGTTTGGGATTTTGGGCTGCGGTTCAGAGACTCTTGTTGTAGTTCACAGCAAGGTGATCAAGTTACATGGATATTCGTTCTCACAACCTTTTAAGGAGCTGCGTTCTTCAGCTAAAGCACACTCAGCAGGCAATCATCTCGAACTGGATTGCTTGCATGCAGCTTCGCCCATCAGATGATCAAGATTGGAACGATTTGTCTCTTTGCGCGTTTAAGACTCTACAAAGCATTGGGGGATTGAGACGATGCCAGGCAGGAAACCTGTTACTGATTGTTGAAACCCTTAACTCCTGAGTGCGCCCCACAGGAAAATGGTGCAGTGTTGCAGTACTGCAGTATGGGCTTGGTAGGCAAAACGGATGAGCGGCATCCCAGCTTAGCCGGAAGACCAACACCGGACCTGCAAAGGATCGACCGCATCATTTGGATCTTCTGCTCCGTGAAGGCCCTCAAAGGCTCGGAGCTCTTCTACTCGGTCGAGGCGGGCTGATGTGAAACAAGACCTGGATAATGGGTAATTCCCAAAATTAGGGTCCCATTTTGGAATACTAGGTGCGTACTAGAACCTGTATAACCAAAAGGGGCCCATGATCTGAGAACAACCGTAATGTTGACCTTTGCATGTTCTAGATTCAAGATCTACCAGGGGATTCCTTCCATGAAGTAGTATTTTTGTCATAAACTCAAGCAATACCAATTTCCATCCTCTTGCTGCAAATTTGGGGCCAGAGCCCGATGGACCGCTTGAGACAGCATCTCGTCACCACGGCATAAAAAAACGGAAGCTACACAGCCAGTCATGCAGTGCCTAGTCCAAGTTTGGCCTAGTGAAGCTCTAAATTGCGGACACTGCCTGCAATTTGAACTCGTACATGCGCACCAGACTCCATGTCATTCTTATTGACAGTACTTGTAGCAGGTCATAAAGACGAGGACCTAGGGTGGACGTTGCTGTGCTGATGTGTGACTGTATGCTCAGACTCGGGAGCTGATCAAGATGCCGGTGCCTGATTCCTTCGCAAACTTGAGGGGAAGAGGGCCACCCTGAGGGGTTGTTGGGTGTTTAGAAGACATGTTCTCCTCGCAGCTGATACTCGTCTTCTGGATGTGCCCAACTGCATTGCGCTCAACCCCCTTGGTTTACCCCTCTGTGCCTAGTCACAGAAGATAGATTCATTTGGTGCCTATGTCAGATTTTTCTTCAGTGTTCAGTTGCCAGGTTGACCGGTTCTCCCTGCAATGGCCAACCGCAGAGTGTCCCTGCAATCCTAACTCAGCCTAAGGCGTGAGCTCGCATGTAAGCTCTATAGAAAGGATTTCCTGGGTCCGCGCGAAGCAGCAGAGTTGCCAATGCGGGCGATGCTGGGTTCTGCGGCCGCTTCTCTCAGGCCAACATGATTGTAGCCTTCATGCAGGCTTCTGTTGTCTGGCTGAGGCCTAGTCAAGTTGCCCCGTTGAGAGTCAGGCTGTTCAGCAAGGGGCAAACTAGGCAACTTGGACCACTTGTACTGTATGACGTACCATATTTCCCTATATAACACCCAATAATATAGTAGCTTCCCTTTTGTTTTCCAGCATCCCCCTATATGCCCAGGATATCCCTAGGATGACTTAGATGCCATGGCATATCCAGTCCGTGCCTTTTGGCTCGCGCCTCTTCTCGTTCTCATTGTGCCACTTGTGCTGCTGAACTGGAGGATATCACCTCCGACTATACCGGCCTTCGAAGTGCGTGACATGCAAAATGAGTCTCTGTCCAGTCTGAGTCACGAGTCACAGGAAGGCTACCAGCTGAGTTCATGTATTCGGCGAGGTGAACGAGTGTGGAATCTTGGGGTTGACATTGGCACATCGTGCATCATCATCGCCAAGCTGTCGGGAAACTCTACCGGAACTGTTTGTGTCGAGCCAAACATGCTTGTCCTTCCAAAGGCGCGAGTTGCCTGGCACACAATCAGCAAGCTTGCATGAAGCGAGCAGCAGAGTTCCCTCTGAGAAATGTGAGGCCATGATTTCAAGCACTGGTTTCTGAGACTAAGGAAAACCTAGCGAGGAATGCAGTCGGAGATGTCCATGTGGTTAGCGGCTTGGTTGCCGACGCAGCCCATTGCCCTGAGTCAGTACCGTTTTACGGGGTCGACGAAGAGCTCAATGCTGAGACCGGAACTGCAGCGCGGCTTCCCCGTGAGATGTCCTATGAAGGAATGAGCTATAGCGTTGAGAGCTGTTACAGTCTGCCGTACCTGGCATCAAGGTTTGGCACGCCTGCTGTGCTATTTGCTGATTGTGAGGGCTGCCTGCCAAACATCTTCCGGCAGTTCCCGTCGTTTTTCCGCAGGCGAGAGCTTCGGATGATAATCTACGAAATGGATGGGGATCACCTCGCTTACAATAAGTTTCATGAAGCTCTGGTAGAGGCTGGGTTCAAGCTGTTGGAGTTCGGTTTCGTGTGCGTGTGGTCGCGGGAGCTGATGCCCGTCCTGAACTTATGGCCAGTGTACCACAAGCTCTTAGCCCCCAGCATCATCACCTTCTTGCTGGATCTGCTCATGGCTTGCATTCTTCCAGCTCGCTTGGCAACAGTGCCATTCTGGCGATGCTCGGCTGTCTTACTCTGATTTGGAGTAGGGCTGAGTAGCTTTGCATTCCGTTGCTCATACCTTAACCAAAAAGTTGAAGAGTTGCTGTGACGACCGAATCCCCTCGCCGGAGGTTTCCTTTCCATCTCACACTGCATTGACGGCGCCTTCTGCGAGCCTGGGGGTGTCTTGACGCGGTGCATGCTGGCACCGCTCTGCCAGGGCGACGGCAACGTTCGCGACTGGCGTCTGTTTGGCGGATTGTACTACCCGAGCGACTGGATAAAGCCACGACATGAGTTGTCGAGCTGGTCAAAGCACGGCTTCGGGTCCTCAATATTCTGCACCTGTTGTATTTCACGTCAGTGTACAACCATGATGGATCATGATGGCTACAGTGAATCAGAACTTGTATCCGCAAACAAAACGGAATCGTGACAGCAGCAGTGATAGGCAGCCTCCAGTTGCACTCTTCCCAGCTACACACGGCAATTTCCCGAAATAGAGGGATTTCAATGTAGACCCCAAAATGCTAAAGCCCTTTTTATGGGGATCCCCAAGGTACTTCTAATTTTGGGGCACCCCCACATCCGCTAGGTTTCTACACTCTCATGAAGTGGTTCTTTCTCCTAGCCCTGATCGCTTGGCCAGCGGCTCTACATGCTTCGGAGTCAGAGAGGGCAGCGCTCAGGCCTGGCAGCTACAAAGTGGGGAAGAAAGGAAGAAGCACAGTAGTCAAGATCAAGGTAATAATTCAGAGAATAGCCAAAGCAACTTTATGCTTTCCTCGTTCCCTACACATTGCCTGAGGTTCATGGGCATTATCTTCACTGCCAGCCTGGTGGCTGGATACCTTCTGGCGGAGATCTGCGGCCAGTTCGGGTATCCGGGTGATCCTGAGATGTTCATCTGGATGGTCTCGGTACTGGCTACGGTCGCCTTGTCTCTTTGGGCCATTCAGTCACTGCCACGGAAAGCTGGTCGAGAGGGTTCTAGCGCTGTTTGACGTGTGCTTGCAGCCGCCAAGAAAGAAGCGCAGAGCATTGGACACGAGCCAAGCCCAGAACTCTTGCATTGCTCGGGACGCAGACGGACTCTTGTATGAAGATCTTTTGAGAATGTCCAGCACGGCAACTATTGGAGGTTCACAACAAGAGCTTAGAACAAGCGCATATGATTTGGCTTTCTAACCGGTCAGTTCAGCATATGCTCAGGCATAGCCAGCCTGCAATGTTCCCTGACCTGCCACAAAACATCCTTCATGCACACGAAGGGCTGAACATCTTTACATGCGATTCGTGTGGCATGGAGTGCCCAACCAAGCCTTGATCACTAGGCCTGAGTCGGCTAAGCGTTTGAGAGTGGGCCCCAATCGCTGCACATCCAGACTTAGGTACTTGCCTCAAACAGACGTACAGTGCTCTGAATTAGGAATGAATGGAGAAACTTGTACCTGCGAGTGCAGGAGTTCTGAAACATCTTGTGAATGCACCCAGCTGCGCTTTCCCGCAGCAATGACCCATATCGGGAACGGCGAGATGTGCTATAGTGGCCTGAACAGCTACCAATGGTTGCCTTCATTTTCTCTTCTAGATGTCATGAACCGCTGGTAACTGGCAGTAAACCCTGCCCAGATCAGACCATTCTGGCATTTACGACCGTGAGTGTGGCTGGATGTTGAGAGTCCCCGCGTTGAGCCATGCTAAGGCGTTCTGGAGATCGTGATTCGACATACGAGAGGCGGGGTGGTTTGGCTTATCATAAAAGTTTTGAAGTACCCCTCCAGAAGACAGATATACTGCAAGACGTCGGGCTCATTTTGCTCCGTAAGTTGTTGGCAGGGAAGATTTTACAATCCCAAGAACACTAGAGCTGCTAGATGTGTCGAAGCACGGTGTGGCAGTTCAAAGTGCCATGGATTCGGGCTTTAAGAACAGGGTTGAATGAGGAGGAGATTTTGTTATGCATGACCGGGCTGGGTGTGAAGCCCATAGCTTCGGAGGGAGATGTGCAGAGTAGCTCACCAGACGAAAGGCTGTGCACAGCGCCGAAATCCAGCTGAAACTTCTGTAAAGCCTGTTTAGAGTAAACCTTATTCTAGTTTGGGAAGGATCGATGCCTGTCCAACTGCCAAAGCGTCAGAAATTCACCCTGTTTGCTGCTTGGGCAGGTTTGTTGACACCATGAATGACAAGGCACGATGGCTTAGCATAAGCTCCCGTGGCTTAGCATAAGCTTGTCAATCAGAGGTGCGGGGAAACTTTAAGTTCAAAGGCACGCGATATTGCATGACAACCCGACGCACAACTCGCTTCCAATCAGGAGCAGCCTGTTTGCATAGTTGCAGTGATTTTCAGGATCAGCTGGACAAGATCCAGTATGTCAAAGAACAGCGAAGCTGCTTAGCAGCACCTGCAGACGTGGTTTTCGGTCTAGTGTTGTTTTCGGATTGAGCGGATGATATCTGGCAAATCCGAAACTTTCAACGCTCAAATCATGTTTCATGATGTTTTATGCACCCTTGCTTGATAATTTGGGGTTCTGAGCTAGTGCCCGCTCCGAAGGGGGGTTCAGTGCCAGCCTACAGAAAATGGCTTGGATCGTGGCTTGTGGATTGGACTGGTACGCTATCCAATGCATTCAGCTGCACAGGGGTGACCCTCATTCCGAGTGTTTTTCCCAGCCAGAAAACAAAACAAGAACTGACCTTTCCATTTTGAAAGCGGCTCCCAGATACAGTGGCTACAATGGCCCAAGCTCTTATTGTTTAGGACCCCTAGACAATAAACCTTTACTATCTAAGTCCACCCTAAACCCTATTATACTATAGTAGGTTCCATTTTCTTTTCCATTATCCCAATATAACCCCTATACAATCCCTATATAACCCCAATACGATCTAAGTCCTAAGCTTTCTCTAGGCTTGGCAGCGAGCCAAAATCAACCGGACACCATGAACCGGAAAGCAGTCTGGGCCTCGGAACTGACAAGGACGAGGATGATGCCTGGGTTTAGGGGTTTAGGGTTTAGGGTTTAGGGGATGATGCTGGTGGTGGTGGTGATGATGGTGGTGATGAGTATGATGATGACAGTGATATGAACTATTGCCAAACAACTTGTTCATCACAGCTGTTATCTACCAGTATCAGTCGTCGCAGTAGTATCAGCAGCAGCAGGAGCAGGAGTAGGAGTAGGAGTACTAGTAGTAGTAGTAGCCGTCGTCGTCGTCGTCGTCGTAGTAGTAGTAGTAGTAGTGGTAGTAGTAGTAGTAGCAGTACCACCACCTACTACTACTACTACTACTACTACGGCGGAATGGGCAGGTTTGCGCGGGCTCCAAGAGTTCTTATTTGCCTAAACGTACCAGAACACTGGCAGGGATAGTATTGTAAGTGTTTTGGGTATGTTGCGTATGTAGGAGTTTACGGGGACGAGTTTATAAGTTCATCCCCAACTTGCGCACCCCTCTACACGGTGAAAACGGGAATCCCTAAACCAGGCTCCTCAGCGGGACCTCATGTACTTGGCGGCTAAATCTTTCAGGCGGCTTGTAAACCCTGAGCTCTATGCCCTAAACCCGGAACCCGAAGTTCTACATCACAATCCCTCACCCTAAAAACACCCTAAACCCTAAAAAGCCCTAAGCCCTGAAATCCCTAAACCCTAAACACCAAAACCACTAAAAACGCTAAGCAACAAAAATCCTAAGAACCCCAAACCCTAAGAACCTTAAACCCTAAAAGCCACAAACCCTGACCCCAAAAAACCAAACACACTGAACTCCACAAGACCCTAAACCCTAAAAAACCCTAAACCCTAAAACCCCCAACCCTAAAAACACTAAACCCCAACAACCCTAAACCCTAACAACCTTAAACCCCAAAGCCTAAAAACCCTGAGAACCCGAAACCCTAAACACCACAAAGCCTAAAACCCTAAACACTCTAAACCCTACACCCTAAAAACCCAAAACACCAAAAACCCGAAAAACTTAACCCTAAAACACCAAAACATACTAACCCCGAAAAACCCTAAACCCTAAACACGAATTCAAGTGCCCTAAGAACCCTAAGCCCTAAAAATCCACTAAACCTTAAAAAACAAAAAGACACCAAACCCTAAAAACATTAAAACCCTAAACCCTACACCCTAAACACTCTAAACCCTACAGCCTAAACGTTCTAAACCCTACAGCCTAAACGTTCTAAACCCTAAAACCCAAAACACTAAAAGCCACAGACGCCTCAAAGCAAAAAACACTAAAACACCAAAAAGCCCGGGGCCCTAACAACCCTAAACCCTAAAAGTCCTAAACCCTAAACCTTACAGCCAAAAAACACTAAACACCAACAACCCAAAAACCACCAACCCTAAAAACATTATGCTCCCAGAGCATTCCCTGAGGCCGTGCTGCGGTTGCAGTCGATGGACCATGTTACATGACTTCTAAAATCCTGGGCGAACCATCCCTCCCTGGCGTCGTAGTAGTAGTAGTAGTAGCAGTACAAGTAGTAGTCGTGATGGCCATGGTGGTGGTGGTGGTGGTGGTGGTGGTGGTGGTGGTGGTGGTGGTGGTGGTGGTGGTGGTAGCTGTTGTTGCTGTTGCTGCTGCTGTTGCTGTTGCTGTTGCTGCTGCTGTTGCTGCTGCTGCTGGTGTTGGTGGTGTTGTTGTTGTTGTTGTTGTTGTTGTCGTGGTCGTGGTCGTGGTCGTGGTTGTGGTTGTTGTCGTGTTGGTTGTGGTTGTGGTTGTGGTTGGGGTGGTCGTGGTCGTGGTAGTGGTAGTAGCAGCTGTAGTAGTAGTAGTAGTAGTAGTAGTAGTGGTGATAGTAGTGATAGTAGTGATAGTAGTGATAGTAGTGATAGTAGCGATAGTAGCGATAGTAGTGGTAGTGGGAGTAGGACTAGCATCAGTAGCATTAGCAGTAGCAGTTGTTGTGATGGTGGTGGTGGCGCTGGTGGTCGTCATCATGGTTGCATCAATAGCCGCAACATGCTGCTCATTCTTGTTTACTACGGCCGCAACCAACCTATGTCAAAAGCTGAGGCATGGCAGGATGCAGGCGCAGTGGAGGCGCTCCAGGACCAGGAGGCTGGCTTCTGGGCCATCCACTTATGAGATTAGATTGGACTCGTACTTATTACTGTCATACGGGCTAGTAGGGGGCATAGGGGAGTACAGAGGGATAATGGGTTATGGAGAACCGTATGGACAATCAAATAGTCAAATGGACAATGTAATGAAAACCGTAGGGCTTAGGGGATGTTACCCCAATAGAGGAGAAAAAGCTGGCAAAGAACACGGAAGATCAAGGAATGGAGAAGAACATGGTAACAAATATACTAGAGGTAAGCATTAGGGGATTCTGTGGAGAGCTTAGAGGAGTCTCTAGAAGTTTGTCCATGCATTGAAATCTTTGTTGCTAGCAAATGAGCCGGAGCCAAAACAAGTATGAAGCGGTCCAATAAGCAGTTTTTTACAAGGATGCCGCAGTAGATGGCGAGTGCATTAGAATTGGGGGTTGATGAGGGAGATGCCGCAAAACAGCATGTTCTTGATGATGTCGATAGTGAGCGACCTTCGTCTAGCGCTTGGGTACACAGGTGACTTTTAGGGCGCAGGACTTTGTGTGCAATGTTTCGATTCGGCTGGATTCGGTCGGTCAATGTAGAGAAAGTAATCGTAGTTTGTACAGCCAGTACCTCGGCATTGTCACATTTTGCTTCTTGCTTTTCTTGTCGCACGGCATGCGGTTGCTGTTTGTGCCTGCCTTTGTTGCTGGACGTTGAGAGGCTACAAGGCGAACAACAGTTTGAAGTCGAAAAAAGCGTGTTTCTTAATGGTGCCCTTGCATGCAGACATGATTTTCTTCGACTACTCACAAGAAGTGCTAGGCAGAAGGGCTCATCCCGCCAGCTGGTACTAACACTTTTGCTGCCAAAGTCCGACGCGGATCGCGCTCTCCTAAAGCCAGAATTACTGCGAAGAGCATAGAAGCTACAAGTGGC